AATATCGTGTAGAGATGGGGAGATAGCACCGTTCCTTGTGGGACACCTGCTTCCAAGAACCTCGGTTGCGATTTTTCTTGCCCTACTTTCACCTGGATCCTCCTGTTCGTCAAGTAGGAATCCGTCAGTTTGCAGATCCAGTTGGGGTATCCTATGGTCTTCATTTTTCCCACGAGTTCTTGTTTCCAGACTCGGTCGAAGGCTCTCTCTATGTCTAGTAATACCAATCCTGTTGGTTGTTGTCTTTCGATGCCTTCTGCGGCTTGTTCCACGAGTCTTAGAAGTTGCATTTCGGTGGAGTGTCCTGCCCTGAACCTACCCTGTGACGTCAATATCGCATAAAATTTAATTAATTCTTTATTGTTAACTAAGTAAGGCATATTTAAGACAAAAAGAAATTCACTTTTTTTAGATAATAATAATAATATCTTTATGTATTTATTTATTTATTTTTTAGCACTTGGCTATTTACATAAGCAAGTACAATTTGCATAAACAAAACTATAAACTTCGCAAATACCCCTTAAGTCTCTTCTTGAACACTCTTGGGCAAGGCGCGCCCTTAATATTATCCGACAGTTCATTAAAATTACAAACACCATCGTAGAATAGAGTTTTCTTTGATTTTGTTGTTTTTACCATAGAAACATTGAAGTGCTGATTGGAACGAATATTATATTGATAAAAACCTTTTTTCCAATCGTGCGCAATTCCATAAACCAACATTAAACTTGCTCTTCTAATAAACTGCCCGACATTTAGCCAATTTAGCTGGTCTAACATACTCTTTATAGGAGTATATCTATACCCAGTTCAGGATGATTCTCATAACCCTATTTTGTTGTAACTGTAACTTATTTAAATCTTTTTTTGTACAAGATATAAGCAATGAACAAACATATGAAAAATGAGGCAAAATTATACTATTTTACACTAATATCCTAGTCCACTGCGATAAAAACCGCGATACACGGTTAAAAAACCCTATTTTCTTACCACTTTTTTTGCATAGATATTCAACATCATTACTAAAGCATAATTGTGGATCCAAGATCACCCCCAAATATTTAATTTCGGAAACAAACTCAATTTTATTACTCTGCATATCCATAGAATACCCCGACTTATAAAATTTTTGACAGTTAACCTTAGAACCGATAACCATGCACTTGGTTTTGGAACTATTTAATTTCAGTTTACTTTGACATAGCCATTCGTAGAAATACTGCATTTCGGTGTTCGGTTTGGTAGCTATTTCTTTGCAATCATTTCCGGAGACTGAAATAAGCGTGTCATCAGCAAATAAGTTAACAAAGGAGTTTTTTAACACCTGATGCATATTATTTATATAAATAATAAATAAAAGCGGGCCCAACACCTGCGGTACCCCCCATCTGCTATCCCTATGACTAGAAACATTATTATTAATTTTCTTCCAGTGCAGAGTCTTTAATGCCATATAAACCTAATTTTGTAATAAGAATGTCCCTGTCAATAGTCCCAAATGCACGTTTGAAATCTACAAAAACACTCAGAATTAGTTTTGATTCATTCATGTCTTTCCGCCACACTGCACACATAAATTGCAACGCAGATTCGCACGAGTGTTTGCTCCTGAAACCAGACTGTCCACTGTAGAGTAGGCAGTTCCGCTCCGGGTAGTCTCTCAACTGCCCACACACTATCGTTTCCAGGATTTTATCCACTACCGGCAGCAAGTTAATTGGTCGAAAATCACCAGGTGTTTTCGGTATTGACACTTTAGGTATCGACACTATGATGCTTGTTTTTAGTTTATCAGGGATTTTCCGGCACTTAAAGGCGCATTCACCAAATATAACAACGGATAACCTATTACACAAAATAAATCCTTGACGAGCTTAATATTTAGAACAGAGTCACTTGTACTTCTATTTTTTAGGTTATTTACAGTTTTTTCAAGCTCCGATATAGTTATTTTTTTAAAGCAAGACAAGCTACTTGGTTATACTTATACTTATATAATTATAAAAAATTTGCTTGTATAGAAGTTGCTTATATAAATTGTATTATTATTATTTATTGCCGAGTTTCTTCATGTGGACCAAATAGCGAAACAGGATGAACCTTCTATTGCACTCGTTTTTGCATCTGCAGAGGTATAGATAATAATAATTAAATTATTATTATAAGCCGAACACTGCGACATTTTCAAAATGTTTGGGGGCGCCCTCGCCTTGAAACAAGCGTTTCACAAAAATCGTAGCGGACTTGGAAACTTTTCCGGTGATCTGGTAATCCACTTTCCCCTTGTCCGGGATATTTATTGTACCTGTTTCGGTTACTTGGAAAATGGCCACCGCGCCCATATTGCATCGACGTGGTCCGCCATTGTGCAACAGGTCACGTTACGCAATCGCGCTTTTGTAATACCCGGGAGATTTTTGCGAAAATATTGTTGTATGGAACTAGACCGGTTTTTTGATTCGACACCTGCCATAGATCGTACCAATTTTGCTCTACTTCGAGGATTGTATAGTGCATTCGCACATAAACGCGTCAAATCATATACACTTTTTCAAAAATTGAACTCAGGTAGGTAAGAACCAAAAGTTCAGATTTTCGCATTTGAATGTCTTATTTTGTTAATCTCCATGGCTTCCCATAAATTAAATTTTCTACTTTTTGTGGCTGTATGTAAAATATCAAAATTGTCTTCAAAAATGTGTTTTTCTGTGTTTAAGTGTGTAGCATAATTAGAATCTAGACTATTGTTTTTAAACGCTCTTTTATGTTCGTTACACATTTCGTTTTATCTTTTTTTTTTTAATTTTCCTATTGTGTTGTTAGTTCTGAAAGCTATTTTTAAACCACATTTTGACAAATGTTTTGAAACTTTTTCACTGGGTTCTCCTATGTATGTAATTGTTTTAAATTGTTCGTGTTCTGTATTAGGTTTCGAATAAATTGACGTTACTGTTGTCTGGATTTGTTTTTTATTTATAATTTTATATATGATGGACGGATTGTAGCCGTTGTTTCGTGCAATTTGTTTAATGATATCTGATATCAAGTTCTTTGTTATTAATTTTCTGTTGAGAGTGGCGTATTAAGAAGTCTGTGTATAAAGTATATAGTATAAAGTAGCAGGTAGTTTGTAAATATTACATTTGATAAATACACGTTGTTGTCGAAACAATTGTCATGTAAAAATATATAACTACCTAGATTCTAAACTTGCACTTTTATTTACATTTCGCCTGATTCTAATGCGTTCGACTATATTACGATTTCGCGAATTCATTATACTGTCGGTCTATGGCCGTTTGTTCTTGTGACAGTTAGACCGCTGTGGTTTGTGTTTTTCGATAATCTGTGGTTGCTTGAACGCGAGAATTCTTGTTATCTTTTTAAAACGTCCAAGTCCTTAAAAGTGTTTAATATTTTTCGAAAATATTGTTTACTTCATCATTTCGTCTTAGGAATGTCACTTCAGGCATAGTATCAGCATAGCCCGAAAATTTCAGCAGAGGGTAAATTAAAATCGCAAGGTAAAAATAAAAATTATCCGTCGAGCTTTATCAAAAGCACTCACCGTCACATTCGGCTTCAGCCGTTCCGTCCTCAGAAACTGCTGCAAAAGTACGATGCACAAGGACAGATTCGCGTCAGTTTCCTGAAAACAAATCCGGGTGAAGTTTTCGTACAAAGTTAGTGTCGCGCCATCTAGCGACTGGCCTAGAAACCTGAAAGTGTTTGTTAACGTTTACTATTGGTCGCTTCTATTGCGATTTTTTCTGTGCACGACAGTATATACGGGGGGGTTCGAAAAACGAGACGTGAGTTAATAAGGGAAGCAGAAAAAGTAGCGCCGGCGTTGAACAGTAAACTCGACAGTAAAATATGAACTTTCTGTGTTCTTATTTATTTTTTATTTGCTTATATTTTTTTAACTATAATACACGAGAGCCAAAATCGCGACGTGAAATTTTTGAAAGTATCTAGTTGAAAAGACGAACATAACAAGCGAAAATTACATGCTCAAATGGCTCAAAATGTAAACGCTTCGGTGCTTACCTTGAGTTTATTCTGCAGGATCCAGAGCTTCTCTTCGATGGATGACATTTTGCGTTTGAGACCAACGAGTGCAATCAACTGTCGCGTGCCTTCCGAGATATCGATTATTTCATAAATGAGATTCATAACTCCGCGTCTTGCATGCGATCCTAAGGTTTTGATTGATCCTGAATAAGGCACGCTAAACGCTTCGCGAATTTGTACCATTTTATCGAAACTCTAGTCAATTACCTATTCATACTTATATCTGAATTATCATTTAACTTATTAAAATGGCTATATGTGTGTGCAGGCTATTAAAATAAATTGTCCAAGTATATAATATATAATATTATTATAAAACTTAAAAAATATACTAAACCGACCAAAGCATTTTGATCTATGTGCGTTCATTCTCTTAACTTGGTCTGTGTTAGTTTTTTTATTATTCGTAATTAACTTTTTTAAACTCGCCGTATGTCATTTGTTGCCGTTTTCAATTCGCCTTCGGCGTTCCTATTCTGACCGATACGCCTCGAATTTCGGCACCGTTGAAAGCCGAATTAAAACTTCTCGCCCCGCGTTGCCAAATTTTCGCAAAGTATATAATGGTTAATTCGATTTTAAACAGTCAAAGCAACATCAAGATCTAGGTTACTTTTAAATTAAATTTAAAATACAATTTTGAATACTGCGGCTCCTCCGCCAGGTTTCTCATTTTTAATTATGTTGTTACGACGACGTCTTTGAAAGTTTGATTTGATTTTTGATCCATTATGTTCAGTTCAAAAGCGAATTTTTATTACTGCGTATTTTTGCCATTTCGTTTAATTCCCTGGTCGAATCGAATAAATTAGGAGGTCCGGCAACGTCGCGTAGCTGGATATCGTAGCGACCACAGTTTAAATTTCCTCGTCGGCCAACTACCACTTGATCCATTTAAATAGTCGATACACTGCGATCAAAACTAACCTTGTTAATTTATCTGTGCGTGTGTTTGTGGTCCGTCCGCAAGACACGAGTAACGATTTCGTTAAATATGTTGTAAAATACGGCTTTAAAGATGTATGGTGGTGGTTGTTTTTGATAGCGGGTCGATAGGGGAAAATGGAAACGTTAATAAACAATAAAGAATTGAAAAGCGAACCGCCAGACGACTTTCCCGCATCTGTAAACAATTGCTTGACGTCTTGTAATCTTGTTAAAGTTGAGGATTGTAGTTACGAAGACGACCTAGATGCGGATTGTAAACCAGATTGCGTGAAATTGCACGCCAAGGATGCGATAGAAGGAAGGGGTGTTACCCATACCCCTTTTGGCGATCTTAATCGAAATGACAATTGCAACGTGAAATCGGAAAGTTCGGACGACGAGTCGTCGTCCGACGAAGACGGCATTGCCAAGTGTGAAGTGTGCAGGCTGACATTTTTAGACGAGTACGATTTGGAGTTGCATCTGAAGAGTAGGCGTTTGGACGATAAACGCTACAAGTGTTGCAATTGCGGGAAGATGTTCCGCGATAACACCCAGTTGAAGGTGCACGCTAGGAAACACACGGGCGAGAAACCGTTCGAGTGCGCAATTTGCGCCAAGAAATTTACCGTCAACGGTAACCTCAACAAACACATGAGGATACACACGGGGGAGAGGAGGTACGAGTGCCACGAATGCGGCAGGAAATTCACCCAGTTTGCCCATTTGGAGGACCACTTGAAGACGCATTCAGGTAAACCGAGCGGAAACCCAGAGGGGTCTAATATTTTATATTTTTTATGTGATTTTTAGGGGAGAGACCTTATGTGTGCGACTATTGCAACTCGGCGTTCAAAACTAAAGCGAGATTGAAAAAGCACCGGAAAGGTCACGAGGAGGTCAAGGTGGGAAAAAGATCTGTAAAGTGCCCCCAGTGTGATAACATGATGAAAAACATGAAGCAGTTGGCCACTCATATGATCACTCATGAGGCCTCAACGACAGGCCCTTTCATGTGCCACCTGTGCGGTAAGAGTTTCAGTAAATTCCAAACCTTGCAGTCGCATCAAAAAAATCACAACGCCATAAAAGCTTTCGAGTGCAACTTCTGTGATAAAGCTTTCGCCTCGGCTAGTCATTTGCGGAGGCATGTCAATTCCCATTCAGGTAAAAGCGAACGGTTGGGAGCAATTTTCCTTCACGCTTTATGGTTTTTCTTAAAGGGCTCCGACCGTACGCCTGCGACATTTGCAACAGGGGATTCGCGTCGTCCCAAAACCTGAAACGCCACCGGATGACCCACACCGGCGAGAAGCCCTACGGCTGCTTGGAGTGCGGAAAGGGGTTTTTGACGGTGGAGAACTTGACCCGGCACAAGAGGACGCATACCGGGGAGAAGCCGTTTTCTTGTAAAATTTGCGAGAAATCGTTTGCCCACAGGTAAGTCCGGGAGCAGTTTCTGAGAAACAGGTGAGAATTTCTGAGATACAGCTCAGCATTAATGATTTAGAAATTGAGAAATATGACAGACTTTTTCAGAAATAACACAGACTTTCTGAAGAGTAATTAGGAGTTTCTGAGAAACAAGTCAATTGCAGAAATATGATGAGGTTTGTCTAACGAGCACCCTCTATTAGCAACGTGCAGACAAACTTTAAATTCATAACCGTCATGCCAAAAAACCAATTTTTATTAATACACTATAAAAGGTTTTTAAATTAATGGAAATTTTCCGAAAAATTCAATCTAGAGCTTACCCATTTTATATGAATTACCCTGTATCTGATTAGCAATGTTCTTTAGCAAATACTTACTTTTGAAATTCTGACTTGTTTTGCAGAAATTCCGTCATATTTTTCATAAATTCCTACATGTTTCTCAGAAATTCTGACTTTTTCTGAGAAATTTTCACTTGGTTTTCATAAATTGTGAGGTGTTTTTCATAAATTCTTATTTTTCAGAGTTGTTTTACATGTTTCTGAGAAAATCTGACTTTTTTCTCAGGAATTTTTACTGGGTTTTCAGAAATTGTGAGGTATTTTTCATAAATTCTGACTTATTTTTCAGAATTTTTTACATGTTTCTCAGAAATTGTGACTTATTTCTCAGGAATTTTCACTTACTTTTCAGAAATTGTGAGGTATTTTTCATAAATCCTGATTTATTTTTCAGAATTTTTCACATGTTTCTCAGAAATTCTGACTTTTTTCTCAGGAATTTTCACTGGGTTTTCAGAAATTGTGAGGTATTTTTCATAAATTCTGACTTATTTTTTAGAATTTTTTACGTTTCTCAGAAATTCCGACTTTTTTCTCAGAAAGTTCTATTTGTTTTTCCGAAATTTTGACATGCTTCATAATCAATTCCAAGTGACTTCGTAGATGTTCATTATTGCTCATCATTACATTTTCTTAGACATTCCGACTTGTTTCTCAGTAGTCAGAAATTCTGATGCATTTTCAGAAATTCTGGCCTATTTTTAAAAACATCTTTCTTAGAAATTCTGATCTGTTTTTTAGACATTTTGATTCATTTATCAGAAGTGAGAAGTTTTCAATGGTTTCTCAGAAGTGATAAGGTCTGACGTTTTTTTCACATAGTCTGGCTTACTTTTCGGAACTTGTGACATGTTTCTCAGAAATCTTGAAATATATTAGAAATTCTGACTAATTTCCGAAAAATCAGAAATTATAACAGTTTACATTACGACTGGTTTCTCAGTAGTCAGAAATTTTGACTTACTTTTCAAAAATTTGATTTGTTTTCCAGATTTTTTTCAGAAAGTCTGTTTCTCCGAAATTTTCAATTATTTTGTCGAGATAATTTCGCGTATTCTTCAAAAACTTGCCCAAGATAACTAAGAACTATATTTAAAAGTTTAAATGACTAGATATATTCTAAGAACTCATTTCATTTTAAATTCTTTTAAAACAAGTGAAATTTTAAGCTTGCATTTTCAAAACATTGCATTTTTCCAGTGTTCCAGTTAAAGAAATATTCAATTTTGCACCGGCAATAGTTTGCATGCGATTTTTTGGACGTCATTTATAATTGTTAGTAATTGTCGTTAGAAAATGTTCTTTCAAGCAATTTCATTAGTCAGCCAAGGGGCGTTTCTAATGTACTTTTTATTTTTTTGTTGCAAAAGCAGTCGCACAGTGTTTCATAATCGTTCACAAAAAACCGCGTAAAGTTTCAAATTCCTTTCACATTATTTTATTTTATTTATTTATTTATTTACAACAGCAAACGTTTAATGTCTAATGTACGAATACAAATTATATTAAAAAATTCTTTAAAAAAAACATATAATATACGTATCTATATAGTGTATTTTCACTGATATCACAAAAACGACAAATATTTTTATAAAAGAGAAAAAGAAAGAAAAAAGAGTTATTGATTATAATTAGGTGCAATTCTCTGTCCAATTTGTTGTTTAAATAATTAGTACTTGTTGCATAGGAAGTTTTTTCACTGCAGTTTGACAGTCTTTTCTTTGGTTAATTTTTTGGAGTGACCTCATAGATGGATATTCGGGTAATTTTGAAAGTAGTTCAGTTGACACGAGCACCAGTTTTGTATCATCTTGTCATCGTCTCTCTTTCAGGGTTGTTAAATTCAGCTTTACAAGTTTTTCCTCATAGGAATCGTAAGATAAACGGATTTGAAGTTTTCTGAGATGATCTATTAAGAAAGGCCTTCTTATAATAATCCAAGGCCTTTCTGTTCTCCTACATGGTGTAGGATATAACGATACTCAGTTCTGTTTGTTCCCATAGTCATAGCATTGCATTTCTCTTCGTTTAGTTTCATTTTCCATTTTTCCTCAGAAAGTCGTCATAGTATTCAGCGGGATTCGCACTCTATGCACTCCATGCAAACAGTGTGATTGAAGTTTTGATATTTTCACTGATGTCGCTTACATAAATTAGAACAAGCACCGGCCCAAGAACTGATCCCCGCGGAACACCACTAAGCATCTTGTTTGACAAACTGCCATTTGCTCGTACTTGATAGTAACGATCTTTCAGCAATGAAGCAATAAGACGTAGTAGATTTCCCCTAATCGAGCTTAAGCAAAAGGAGATTTTGCGGAACTTCGGCAGAACTTGTTGATTTTTATCGTAGATTTTCATCCAGTCATCTGAGCATTTTGTTAACTATATCTGATATGGTATTATTATTTAAAAAGAAAGGCATAATTGCTTTCTATGTGCTTAACGCCATGCCCGTGTAAAGGTGTCATTCATTATATGCGACAAAATAGTGCTTACACTGCTAGGACATGTTCAATGTTCAATTATCAATGTTGGTTCCTTCTTGTTTCGTAATTTTCTGTTAAAAATAGAGATGCCAAACGTATTTTCAGTACAACCGCCAAGGAACACATGAGGACCGTTCACACCAAGGAAAAACCATTCGGATGCACGTTGTGCGAGAAAAGGTTTCCGATCAGCAAAATGCTGTACCGTCACGTTCGTGAAAGGCACCCCAAGTTCTTTCCCGAATTCAAAAGGGCGAACAGTCTCACGCCGAACGTGAGGAAAGCGATAGACAAAATGCAACAGGAGAGAAAAGACGCGGACCGCGCGACACACGACGACGCCCTGGAGACCTGCAAGTCGATAAAACAAGAAATCGACGAGGTTAAACACGAAATCGACAACGGAGTTAGCGTACCTTTCATAAAAGTGGAGAAGCACGAAGAAGAGTACAGCTAATAGAAGGTGCGTCTCAGTTGGTGGTCGCTATTGTTGAGAATATATTCGAAAGTTTATTTGGTTTTTGTAAATACGGGAATATCAGTTGTTACAGCTTTCGTTTGTACCAGGATCGATTTTCTACCTCTTTTTATAGCCGCGAGTTAATAAAGTGCGTGTTACATTCCAAACATTGAACAGAAAAGTTCGCGTTTCGTTTATTTGAAAAAAAAAAAATCGCCAAAACTTGTGTACAAAATGTATGGGTCGTTATTAAAGTGTACCATCAAAGCTTTTACGTGTGTATGTAAGGATATTACGAGGTCGGCGTCGGAAAAAACCCACTTTTAATTTTGTCTGTTCTCTGTTCTCGGTCGTCTGTTCTATGTAACCAACCGTAGCGAAGTTTTGAAGCCGGACTACAGTGGAACGGTTGCAACTGCGGGCTTCAAATTTCTCTGCTGACTAATACTAGGCGATGCGTAGCGGCCCGCGAAATATCGAGCCGATCGGACATCGGCGGCCATTTTGTCGGCGCGATTAGCGGTTTTTGTTCGGGAAGTGAGTAAGCGCTCGAAATTTCGAGATAAATTCGGCAGGAATTTCAGATGGGACCTATTGAAAAAAATAAAAGATTTTCTCGAAAACGAAAAATTTCTTGAACCGGAAGACGACGCGAGAGATTCGGTGAAACAGCCCAAAAATATGCAGGGTAATCCAGTTATGGGAAAAAAATCTGAAAATTGCCGTTTAGGGTACGCATCACACATTACACCGAGAAATGCCCCCCTTCCGCGCCCTTATTTCGGTAAGCGTTTTTACCATTTTTACCAGCACCACTTTTGTTTTTTAAATCAAACCAGAAAATATTGATTTTATAACCATAATTTAAATTTTCACGTGTTTTTCAGAAAGACCTATGTCAGAAATTCTGACACGTTTCTGAGACACTGACGCTAATTTCTCAGAAGTCAGAATTTTCGAAATGTATTTAAGAAATTCTGACGTATTTTTCGGAAATCCAGACTTGTTTTTCAAAAATTGTGAAACGTTTTTCTCAGATATTTTGACCGAGTTCTCAGGTCAGAAATTCTCACATGTTTCTCGGGCATTCTGACTAGTTTCTCAGACATGTTTATCAGAAATACTGCCTTAGTCAAAAATTCCGACACGTTTCTCAGACATTCTGATTGAGTTTTTAGAGGTCAGAAATTGTGAATTGTTTCTCAGGCATTCTCTCGAGTTCTCAGAAGTCAGAAAGTGTCACATGTTTATCATAAATTCTGGCATGTTTTTCAGATATTCTGACTGATTTCCAAGGTCAGAAATTCTGACATGTTTCTCAGAAGTCAAACATTTCTCAGATATTCTGATTGTTTTTTCAGAAGTCGGAAATTCTGACTGGTTTTTCAGAAGTCAGAAATTCCGAAATGTATTTTAGTAATTCTGACGTATTTTTCAGAAATCCAGACTTGTTTTTCAAAAATTGTGACACGTTTCTCAGATATTTTGACCGAGTTCTCAGGTCAGAAATACTGCCTTATGTCAAAAATTCCGACACGTTTCTCGGACATTCTGATTGAGTTTTTAGAGGTCAGAAATGTTTCTCAGGCATTTTCACGGGTTTCTCAGAAGTCAAAAAGTGTCACATGTTTTTCAGAAATTCTGTCCTTTGTCAGAAATTTATATTTGTTTTTCAAAAATTCTGACACGTTTTTCATATATTCTTACTGATTTCCTAGGTCAGAAATTCTGACATGTTTCTCAGAAGTCAGACATTTCTCACACATTCCGATTGATTTTTCAGAGGTCAGAAATTCTGACGTTTCTCAGGTGTGCTGACTGGTTTCTCAGAAGTCAGAAATTCCGACATGTTTCTCAGACATTCTTTACATAAAACCAGAAAATATTGAAAACGTCGATTTTATGTCCATAATTTAAATTTTCACTTGTTTTTCAGCAAGACTTATGTCAGAAATTCTGACACCGTTACTGATTTGTCAGAAGTCAGAAATTTCTAAATTTTTTTCAGGAATTCTGACATATTTTTCAGATTTTCGGAAATGTTTCTCAGAAATTAGACTTGCCTTTCACACGTTTCTCATATATTCTGACCGATTTGTCAGGTCAGAAATTCTGACAAGTTTCTCAGACATTCTGGTTGATTTTCTAGAGGTCATAAATTATGAAATGTTTCTCAGGCATTCTCACTAGTTTCTCAGAACTTACAAAGTATCGTGACATGTTTTTCAATTCATTCATTCTGGCGTTTCTTAGATATTTATACTTGTTTTTCAAAAATTTTAACACGTTTTTCAGATGCTCCGACTTATTTCTAAAGTCAGAAATTCTGACATGTTTCTCAGAAGTCAGAAATTTCTCAGATGTTCTGATTGATTCTTCAGAGGTCAGAAATTTTGACACGTTTTCCAGAGATCTTGATTTGTTTTTCGGAAATTGTGACACTTGTCAGAAATTTCGATATGTCTCTCAAACATTCAGACAGTTTTTTCAAAGTCAGCTCAGACATTCTAATTAGTTTCTTGGAAGTCAAAAATTATATGATTTACGGTTAGAGTCACAGTTTCAGTGGAAATTAGTTTACACTTTAAAAAAATAAAACCAGAAAAAATTCAAAATATCAATTTTTTTTCCAACTTAAACTTTGACTGAATTAAAGCCGTTCGCGATACAATCCTTCAGTCGTTTCTTTGGCTAAAAAGTAACAATAAAATATCATCTAATGCCCCCCATGTACAGGTAACATTCCGAAATCGTCATCGACTTAATTGTAAGTAATAAAATCCCTACTTAAAAAATACTCGGCATGTAAAAGTAATACACAACGTTCAATAAATAGAATACTTTTCGATAATTTCTGGTGAAACGTTACCGAGCTATTTATAAAATAACTCGTGTCTTGTTTTCAGTCTCTCTCGAATTACTCCGCGTCTCAGACCCTTTTGCTCCTGCTCCTCTGGATTTGTATCCTTAACGCGTAGTAACCGATGACCCTTAGGAACACCGTCAGCCCTAATAAAAATATCACAGCGTTCGAATACAGGGCGTTTTCCATATCCATTTCGTTGAGGAATTTCGTGGGGTATACGAAATGGCAGTAGTCCGCGTTGCAAGGGAGTTTAGGCCTGCCGTAGCCGAATACGGACAGTACCAGCCCTTCGAGGCCGTACTTCAGAAACGATATGTGGAACACCCACTGCAAATACGGGTGGCAGTCGTTCAGTTGCACGAAAAATCCCGAGAAAATCGTAAACGGCAGGAAGCAAAACGGACCGAATATCACACCGTTCTAAAATTTAAAAAACATAATAAAAAAATCGACTATGCTCTGTCTCTTAATGCGAGAGTGCTTTTTTTAAAAGGTCACTTTTGGTAGGACATAAATTTACAGGTTATGTGGTGGACGAAATCAGAAAGGAGTAGTCCAAGGATAGAACCCTGTGGAACACCTGTCGTTACACCTCTTCAGACATCGCAGCAACTCCCTTAACTCCAGCCAATTTGACTGCCTGCTGTCTCTCTCAACTCTCAAACCTCTCAACTGGTAATTCTCTGAGTGGAGCTCTAGCACAGGCATAATCGGATCGGAATCCTGACCGGAAGGTCAGGAAGAATGTTTATTGGTCTCAACTCATTCAAGCTTGAGAGCATATGAGTTTATTGGTCTCCTCTCCTCTAACGAGGAGTAATGAGAGTCATTTTCCGAATTGTTTTAACTCAGAGGCAGATTGTAAAGATAAGGTGGACAACAGCACTAGTTTTTTTATTGATATATATCAAAACACTTCCTCTATAATTCTGTCTTTTGTCAGATCAATGGAGCACACATTCTAAATTTTTCGTTGGTAATCAATATGGCGGCTGTCGTTGATCTATTTCGCTTAGAGCCTTTTAAAGTTCTTCTCCGTTTGTTATTTATGTTTTTTAGCTGTTTCGTCAGCTCAGGTCTTTTCCGTTTTTCAATTTTTTGACCCATAGATTACAATTTCTCGGGTGTCCCTAAAAAGCACTTTTCCTAGGCATGCCTGGCAACTCCTTTCGAGCTTCCAAACACTGCAAACGCTGGATCTTATTTCTACTGGGTCACGGATAATGCCAGCTGCCTTATTTTAAATACGAAATTAAGGCAGAAAAGGGAGAGATTGTAAATTTGAATAAAATCCCCACCACTTTTATAATAAGTGACGTTGAAACGATGAAGAGAGAATGATAGAGAGTCCCTTATTATTTTTCTGGACTGCAACCTCACTAAAATTTGCTTGTTAATAGTACAAATGATATACATATTATTCTCATTTCAATATAATTAATGTCTTATAATTATAATCCCTGTCATTGCTAAATCTATATTCCATCATCACTCTCTCGCATTAAGAAACTAGGAATAATTAATAAACTCATCGTGGGTTTTCTTACTTTAATTTCCATACAGGCACCGATGAACAGTCCGAAACTTTGCGCGACTAAAGATATCAGTATACACATCAGCAGAAACGAAAGTAGTCTGTATAATTCGACGGGTTGTTGGGTCAAAAAATAAGTAACTAATCCGTAAATGATCGTGGCCAACATCTGAAAGAGACGGGCAAGCTTCAATACACACCGGCGCGGCGAAGCACCGCTCCGGTCAGTCGGTAAAATGAAACCGTACAACGCGCGTATTATATCGTCCGTTTCGCTCAAACTTACTTGTACGGGAATATCGGCTACGGAAATGGCAATGTAATACGACTTTAGCGAATACCACTTGTTGAAATGTTCCCTCGAAATTATCGGCACTTCGGTGGGAACTAAAATATTGTTCACTTATTGCGCTTAAAGTTTACGACGTTACACTTACACGTGGTCGTGATGCAATTCAACGCTGTCAACATCAAGAACATCACGGTGAAGAAGAGGAAGTTGAAATTGTTCATCATGTTCGAGGCGTCCCGCCCGACGCCGTAATATAAAATACCTAAAACGGCGGTTCATTTTATAACGAACGTTGGGCAATGGTAGATTGAGGCAAGCATCAGTTAACATCAGCTCGAATTTAAAATTTAGTGAATCCAAATGGACGTGCAGCTCCACCAAACCATTACCAGTAAACAGTTGGTCGACTTTTGACTTTGCATTAATAGCTTATGTGAAATCTAAACCTAAAAAGCCGTTTGGTGATGATGACTTGATGACTTCTTCGGGGCTAAACTGAAACTGCATTCTACTATATACCAGCTTATATACGGTCTGAGGAGGGTGGAGCTAACTGATTAATACGTTGGTGAAACATAAAGACCTGAGACGTTGTTAAGAAAAGCAAAGGTGATTAGAGAGCCCACCCCAAGGTTATATTTGATAAAAAAATGTACTGGTTTTGAGCTGTTTCCACTGATCCCATGAAATTATAGTTTAAACGCCAAGGCGAAACACCGGTTTAGACCAGACGTTCACACTGATACCTTAATAATAAGTGTGATAGGTGTTTTAATTCTGGGTCCAATGATTGGGGTTGTAATTTACGGTTCTGTAAACCAGCATGGTCACGTGACTATGAGTTAGGTCTGATTGTTAAGAATATCTAAGACTTCGAGATTATTTTAAGTTTCTAATTTAGTTATTACGAAATTATCAGTTTCCTCTGTAAAGTGGTAAAATGGTGCTATTAAGTCGAAAGGATAATCCTGGTGCGTGAATGTTGATGAGATTCTGATTTTAAAGTTTGACGATGCTGGTTGTGTTCATGGCTGCCCTATCTATCTATGCATCCCTACCCGAGTCATCGCAACATATTTGCTTCTCTCATCATTAGAGATATCAAGCGTTACATTATATCACAACCTTCCAAAGAAAATGAGTTCCTTCATTATAATCAAAACATCACTGACCACGTATCAAAAGTTCCTAAGAAATACGATGTTAGAACCAGACTGTCCAAAAATCTCTCAACATTTAAGAGTGAGACACTAGGAGCACACAGCATTCCAACATCGGAGAGACAGGACGAAAAATATCAAATGGTCTAAGGGAACATGAAAAAACCTCATCAACAATGGAAAATTCCCTCACGCAATCAATTCTTCTGCCAAGGAAAAAACACGAAAAGTAATTTCACTGATTCATTGGTCTCCTACTTTTGTCGGCACACTACGACGCGAAACACGAATGTCCTCGTTTTGTCTGCTTGTTTGTTCCTGGATTTCAATGAATATTACTATTTGTATTTTTTTAAAAGAAACTTCCACAAAATACTGTCATACTACAGTTAAAGCCTGAAGAAGTCAACAGGATAATTGCCGAAACGTCAGCAAGGAGGAATCCAGAACATTTGCAAATAGTGACTGTTAGTGTATTTCATCTCACTTTTTTTCTTTCTTTGTTCTCCAGTTCTATCACCGATCGTATGTGACAACAAATTAGGTTAAGTTACATTAAAATCTTCCCGTATCGTGTTTTTTAAAGAATATTGTACGCTTTGTATAGAGCGATTAGGCTGTTAACCGCTTAATGCACACCTCCGTGACGTATACGGGCAACGTTTGCAGTGATATTTGAAAATCCAAGACATTTTGCTAAAATAAGTTTTGCTCTAGTATAACAATGTAATATATTTTACCTCGGGTAAAATTTTTTTTATGGTTGAATGAAAGAAGATTCTGAATTTGAGTATGCCAATTTATCAGAAAGCGGAAGGGGCGATGGCGATGTAGATACAGATACAATGCAGATAATTTTGCAGTCTTTGGTTATCTCCGCTTATTTTTTGATAATCAACCACAGAGGAAATGCAAATATTTTTATGTATAAATATAATTCAAGGAATACTAAAAAAGCCAAAGGAAAGAAATATCTTTACGTCGATATTTATAAGTAAAAAAAAATAGATTCTTTCTGATAATGAATCAGATGACTGTCATACTCATCCGAATCCTAAACTAAACAAAATTTGGCTTATTTATGAAGCTCTCTATAGAAAATTTAGTGCATTTTATATACCTAAACGAGGCTTCAGTGTAGATGAAAGTTTGTTATTGTACAAAGGACGATTTGGTTGGATCCAGACGTCCCTCTAAAACGATCTGCGTGCTCTGCGAATCTAAACCGGGGTATTTGTATTCGTTGATTATTTATACTGGAAAAGGAACTGCGAAGAAAGATAAATAAGGAAATCCCATAACGAAACCTATATTAGTTGTCTGCAATAACACCATGGATAGGTGATAGATGACTATCAACTAACTAAAAAACGGGTGAAAAAATATTATAAAAAAATATTTATGCAAAAAAGGCTGTACTTTATAGAGATAGTGCAGTATTTTATTCAAGAAAAGACAGCACGGGCAAAAAAATCAGAAAAACAAGATATTGGTGCAGCTACCATGACGTGGCCCCTATTTTAAAATTTACCATACAAAATTAAAATATTAATGAAACAATATTTTTTTCATAAATTCGTTAAAATAAGCGTAAATAAATAAATCGATTAAAGAAATGTGCACTTAGGGATGAATGTTAATGGATGCTAGCCGGATGAAGCCGCCATTATAAGGGACCCTCGTTTACCTATGAAAAGAGCGATAAGCGAATGGGTCGCTAATCTGTTGTACGTCAGGGTTCTGTCCCTGGACAAAACCAAAAACGCCCGTTTAAGTAACACGAGCACCTGATAAAGACACGTGGTGGGGTAAGTCCCTTTGCAGCACGCGTCACTCTCATCACTTTTAATATCACAGAAGTTTGGTCGGGGGAAAACGATGGCCGGCGCATGAACGGGGGTTATGGTACCAGATTTCATCATTTTATCTGAAAAATAAAAAAGCAATTTTGCACAGAATAATAGGGTGTTTGTGCTGTGGGCGTCAGTTCAATTTTTTTGGCCCCAAGAAGAAGAAGAATTACGTTATGGTCTGTTTCTTCTTCGATCAGTTGCTAAGTTATCTAGTAAAAACGGGACCACAGATACCGAAACTGTTGTCGACACAACTATGGTAATCATTCCCTAGATCCCTCTTTAAGTTGAAGCTTATTTTCGGTTGTCGATATGTTTTCTGTCAATCTTAGGATTGACAAATTTTTATTAACCTCGAGAATTTGATTTTCATTAAGTTTCGAAATAGCATTTCTGCTGATTGACTGTACTAGTGTCATAAGGGATGCAGTTTTTGTGATAATTTAAACTTCAAATTTTTGTTAGTCTTTTAAAATTTGAACAGTAACGCTTTTTTTCCGGCTTCAATGTTTTAGGCATAGATTTTACGCCTGAATATTTACTCGGGGCTTTCTATTTTTTTGTCAATCGTTAAAAATCCCGCAAATAGTCACAGATTTTAAATTTAGTCTGTGAACATATGGGTAACGGAGACGGATTTAGTTTACATTGAGTCTGAGAAAGGACAAGCCGACATCTTAACAAAGGGATTGACGTGTGTACCGTTTATGAGGTTAAGGGATAATTTTTTATATACGGCTGGACCATGACGTTATGAAAAGTAGATAGAAACGTGATGTAAAGGGAAAATGTTTTTTTTTTTGTAAGAATTAGAAAGATGTAAGGAAGAAATAGATCAATCATCATCAATCAATCATAGCATCAATTTTTTTCATTTCATTTTGTTATTTTAATAAATTGTTGTTTTAGTAACAGTAATAGAAAAGACACCAGGCTTTTTCTTGTTCTTAAAAGTATTCTTTTTTTTTTTGTATTCATTCGCAACTATTAGCGAGTTCATTTAAAAGTAATATTTTAATAAGTTACGAATTAAAAATGTGAATATCCTGAGACAGGATTAAAAACGAACGTCAGAAAGTTCGACTTATAAACAATAAACAAATAAAAAAAACGGAAAAGATCCTGTATTATTAGAAATTAAATTTGAGAATATCTAAATATATATATATATATATATATATATATATATATATATATATATATATATATATATATATATATATATATATAAAGGTATTTTTGCAAATTGTGCGCGGGTGGCGCCACCTACAAATGATCGCAACAAACTGACTGCCTCCCTCCCCGAAAACGCCCACATGCGAATTTTTGTACCAATATTTTCGAAACTGTGAACGCAAGTAATAAAAAAAAAACGAAAAAATAAAATTACTTTTATCACCCAACATCTAGGCGAGTATCGACTTTAGGACTTTGGGTTTATTTCAAAAAACGAAACATTCGCTTTTAAACAATGTCAAAATGAAAATAACACATAACATGGTTCAAAAAAAAAAGTTAAAAAAAAGACAGTTGTCTAAGTTTGAAATCGAACGTACCTATATGCTCGATCGTATCGAGTTGCAACGAACCCGCTTCGACGCTGATCCAGTCCTGGTTCAGTCCGTTCTTCGACTTTTTCACTAACTCTTCCGAATGATCGCCATGTTCCCCAGAAACCACCTCCAGCACTGAAAATACGAGACTGAACCGCGACGCCTCCAAAATTAAATTGATAACCCACGGTAATCGGCCGGATTGTGGTACGGCGGACATTTTAAATCCAACTCTTCCAAGTAAGACAGCAATCCTTTCACGGAACCTTGGTACATGCATCTACCGTCCGATAACGTATATAAATGATCGAACAGGTCGAAGATCATCGCGCTCGGTTGGTGTATGGTGCAGACTATGGTTTTTCCAGCCTGCGCGAGCTGCTTCAGCAACATCACGCACTGCTTCGAAGTCAAACTATCCAGGCCGCTGGTGGGCTCGTCGAAAAACATGATCTGAGGGTTTTTGATCAATTCTAGAGCGATGGAGAGTCGCTTTTTCTGACCGCCCGATAGGGACTTGGTCTTCACCTTCCTGTGGGGCCATAAACTTATCGACTCCAGGATTTCCTTAACCTAAAACACGATAAAACCTATGAAACCATGTAAATATAAAAAATTACTTACTTTATTGTGTTTTTCTTGGGCGCTAACCGACGAAGGCAGTTTGAGATTGGCCGCCACCGTCATGGCTTCCTGTACGGTCAACAGCGGCTGGAGCTTGTCGTCCTGCATTATGTAGCAGGACTGCTTTCGAAAAGCCAGCTCGTTCCTGATTTGCTGGTTCGTGTATAACTGTCCGCTGCTAATGCCCGTCCTGGAAATCGGAAAACAAATATTTCGCGCAATTACGAATGAAAGAAAACACGAAGAGTCGTTTTCTACTTCCACCAAAACAAATCACTTTTCGAACGTTCGTCAAAGATCAAACAACTCTTAAGCGCGTTAGATGGCGCGACACAGGCAAACATTAAAATGTAACAAATGTGAGTATGGCACATCCAAATGAGCTCAGAGAATCGGTATTTTAATATTTATTGGATATTGTCTTTTTGCGTGAAAAAACTTGTTATCGACATCTATTGCATTTTGTCGCATTTGCTTGTAACTCTACTTGAATCGTCACCGGAATTAGGGACTCATACACTTATAAATATTAGAAGGTCATAGACATTTTAAGATAAGATTTGCTCAACATGATCACAAACAAATCTTCCGTGCTTCTGCTTCCAAAGCTACAGTTGCAATTTGCATGAAAAGAAGAAGACATAGATTTGACGTTTACAGTACGCTCTCTAACTCTGGCTCGACTGCTTTTGGTAAGTGTTAAATTATTGATTGGAAATAAACATGTGGTTTAAGAACAGCAGATTGTTCGAACGATATTTTTAATTCAACGCTTCTTATCTGCGATCGAGTTCCTCTAAATGGGTCTAAATTTCAACAGCACCGGTCGCTAATTTTCCAGGTCAGTATTAAGTATTCCACATCGTAATCTTTTTCTGTCTGATGTCATTTGTTACCGATTGATGTACTATGCGTGTATAGGTTATGCGCGATCTAAAGAAAAAATTGTCTTGGTTTTGCGCATAACAAACGAGTAGTGTAAGGAACGAACTCTATTTTATTAAAAAAAAAAAACATTATTTGGAGAGTTCCGTAAATCTGAATTGCCAAGGCCGTATCGCCGAAATCGTAATTAATGGTAGGTAATGCGCCGCAGCGTATCATTGGCGGTTTCGATCAAAAATTAATCGAAATGCTCCAAATTATAATTCGTTTCCTACAAGGTCGTGTAATTGTTTACCAGATAAAATTTTCGAGATCAAGGTATCGGCAATGCGAGACGCAAATTTGATTTCGGCGTTTGTTCGATAAAGGTCGAATGGGATAAGGACTTTTCGGGAGAACAATGACCTGGTCCTCGCGTGCACCGAGATGCGGTGAGGCGTTAGTAGTCTGGTGCAATGAAGAACTTAAAACTTTTTGTTGCACTCACTTTTTCGGAAAATTTAGATAAAATAAACACAATGTACTAGGAATATGCGTTGCATATGATATAAAGTTTTGTTCTATGTATTGCAATACCTGCTAGTTTGTACTATGAGTGGTACTGTCGAAGTCATGTTCTGTAGTTGATCGTGACCAATGAGTATACTTGGCTATACGATTAATTGGTACTTAGTAAATACATTGTGGACTAAGATGTCGACTTTTATTTATTATCTACGTCTTCTAAATGTAGCAAAGCATGTTGAATTGAATTAGATGGGCATTTAATGCCATATTTAATGAGAAATTTTATCCCTTCTAAATTCGAGATATTTCAAAATTGAAAATTTCCATGCAAAAACTGGCAGAAAAAAGAAAAAACAAATTTGACTACACAATCGACTTCTATACAAACAGTTGCTCTAATGAATTTTTGGATTAGTGAAAACGTAAATTAAGAAATGGACATTTTCCAAAATCAAATAAACAAAAAAAAACAATGAGAATCGTTGAAAAATTTCCAAATAAATCGCTCCATATACCCTCAAATCGTCAGATTTGAAATGATTCTACCAACCGGATATCTCTTTTTCTGCAACCAAGTTTCACGCATCAATTTTTATAGTAGAAGCTTCACTTTCTTGAAATTTGATTAAATCTAAAAAAAATCGTCGAAAATCACATATAATACGAACTTCCTTCGCGATTTAGATCGGAATGTGAGGCTAAAATCTGAGCAATACTTGAAAGTTTTCGCCTTTTGTCAAACGAGATACCGAAGGTTTCTTTACGACGTTCCACAGGCATATTTTTAACCTAGAAGGTTACTTGAATAACCAATTATTAGTAAACTTTACCTTTAACGAGCCCAAAAACGAAAAAACGTTTTCTGATAAAATTGAGGTTATGACCATAGACGAACCATTGTCACTATATTGGTTAGTGGTAAAATCTGCTCCAAAGAGTCTTAAGTATTATAAGAAATTTTTGTATTGCAATTTACTATCAATATGGCGTTCGGACAGCAGTTTTCAACGTTAAATTAGAACTATTATTGAAATTTTCTCCTCTTTAAGGATCTTTTTCCCAAAATCCAAAAAGATTATTAGTTTAGGAACTATCAGTAAAAAACTAAACGCTACTTTTTACCATCGTTAATTGTTTATATGGATGAATGAACGAATGAATCGAATGAGCTATATCGCATAATTTTAACTAGATAACCTCCCTTTCCGAAAACGTTGCCAACGTTGCTAACACCCGCAAATCTATTACAATTTTTTACGAGTGCGATGCTTGCCACGGCCTCTCTTCGCGATGAACTCGGTCAACGTTAGAAAGAGACCAAACGCTACTTGGTGCACGTGCACTTAAAGCCTTCGGTGCGATCGCACCGAGCATATCTGTGTCGCTTTTTTAAGTGTTTATTGTTTCGTTACCCGACAACTAAGGTAAATCTCTTTCCGCGAAAACCATTAAATTCTATTATATATACAGTATAGTCCGGCACGCAGTAAATACATACAAGTACCACATAAATTTTGTTATTGGACTAAAGAGTTATTATATATTTGCTTTATTGTTACTACCTATAAGAGACAATACTTGGCCAGCGTCATCAATAAGCTTTAGCTACTGATAAATTTTATTAAAGTGCCTAACGGTTGTTAATGAAACATTAGTAAAGTATTTAAAAATATAATAAGTAAAGATAACTTTACCTGTATGTAGACGACCATAAAAATGCGAATAGCTTGAATAATCGTTTTTCAAAAGTCGGTGAAACAATAGTCGATAACCTTCAACAAGAAATAAATCGTTGAAATTCCCATAGAATGAATCAAAACCTGCTAAAACCTACTAAAACTGATTTTCTTAGCCTAATATCATAACTAAATTGGTCAACATGGTTTTCCTCACCGGAAGAGTTAAAAATTAGAAAAATAATAACCACTATAAACCAGGAGACAAGAGCTGGTTCGATAACGACAGACCAATCTCTGTCTCAGGTATATTTTCCAAAATATTGGACCGAATATTTCGGTTGGTAGTGAATGAAATGTCCCTCAAAAATCGAGCCCTTCACATCTAAGTCGAATTTGCTCTACCTAGTTCGGAAATATACCAAGTAGTCTTCTTCTCTTTTCTTCTAAGCTCAGCAGTGGCAGTTTAGAGAAAATATACTTACGTATAACCAGCCAGTATGTTCATCAGGGTGGATTTTCCAGAACCTGAGGGTCCCATGATGGCCGTCAGATGGCCCCCCTGGAATTCCCCGTTCACGTTGTCCAGCACTCGTTTCCATTCTGAAATCAAGGGAGGCGGTTGGCGCACGTCTGTACAGGCTGTCGCAAACTCGAGGCGATTTCGAAAAAATCGACAATTAAAAAAAATTTCTTCTTGGCCTTAATTTTTTGAAAACAAACCACACTTTCTCGCGACAACTGCTGCCCCCTGCAAGTCGGCATTATTAAGTTTTAAGTATCACTTTGGGATTTGTTTTTTTTTTTAATTAACTCTTCTGCAAACATAGAACCATAGAAACGGACACACACTAATAACTAATATAACAATGTTAAAAAATAAGGATTATATTTCTTTGTTGTCTTTTTTTCTGACATTACAAAATACAAATACCAAATATAAGCATTATATTATTGTATTTTACTGTCAGATATTTCACCATGCAGAAAGCCTTTTTTTATTAAAAGTTCGGCCTGTCGAAAGAACTAATTAACTATATAAAAATGGTTGGATTTTTAAAAAATATTTCGTCGTATAATAAAAAGTAGATGATTGTTTCCTCTTGGGCGCTCCATTCGCGGACACACTGTATATGCGTATTAATTTTGCAATAATTTTGTTTAATATTAACACGTGATGCTTCGTTTTTACAAATATTACCTAAATTTGCAAGATGGTTGCGAATGTGCACCTTTTCAAACTTTTACATATTTCTCAAATTAGAAGGTGTTCTTTTTTTATCAGCAGCGCTTGGAAGCCTTAGGCCGGTACAGATGGAATCAGATTTTTTTTGTCTGTCTGTTCTCTGTAGACGCGGCATTAAGTGGCCGTAACTTTCAAGCCGTTTGACTTACGGTCTTCAGAATTGGCTACTTTTAAACACTCCATGGGACAATTAAGCCAGCAAAAAATGGCCTCGATCGGACGCCGCCGGCCATTTTTTTTCCCGATTTTCGGCTGTTTTGCTATGAAACAAGAAAAGTGTTCGAAATTTGACGCTATCGACTTTAAATTTGGCACACGTATGAAGTTTGGTTCCCTGACGGAACCTATTTTAAAATTATTTTTAAAAATCATTCGCGATATTAATCAAATCTTATCAAGCATGTTTTAGAAATTTCCGAAAATTTTTTTTGGGTTATTTTGATTTCGGACAAAAACATCTACGCGATCGGGAACATTATTTTTTTTAGACGACCTCGATTCGCGATGAAAGCACCTTACGTTAATGCTATACAGTGCATTTTGAACATGATGTACGTTTTTCCAAAACTTACGAATTTCAGAAACAATGAACCGCTTATCGGAACAAAGCATTGCTCGATATTGATAAGCCGCGGAATTCGATTAGACTGTCGAGACGACGAAAGACCGGTGAAAAACGGCCGCGTAGAACGAAGCAAAAGTCATGATTTTTGAATTGTTTCCAGATATCTCGCGCTGCGGCGATTGCGAAGGACGATAAAGGGTCGCTACACTGTCCACAACGGGTGTTTAAACCAACTTCGCGAGTGGAAAGTCAGAACTTTTAATGTTCAACAGATTTCTTTCCTGGAGGTGTTCATAAACACAGAATAGCGAATAGAATAGTAGATAGAACATAGAACAATGAAAAATAACTTCAACTGCTAAAGTTACAAAAAAAAACACGTTTTAATTTCCATTTTAATCTAAATTAAAGTAAACTAACCAAAACTAATTTTAGCTACAGAGATTTCTTTTTTTAGAAGTATTAATAAAATAGAATAGGATATGGAGCATTAAAATATGTCAGGATTGAAATAACTTTGAACTGTTGAGTAAAGTTGCAAAAAAAAGATCGAATTTCTGTTTTAATCTGTGTTACTGATTCTAGCTAAATACATTTCTTTAATAAAAGTGTTAATAAACATGGATTAGACCATAGAACTGAACATAGAACATAGAAAAATGAAAAAAGTCAGGATTGAAATAACTTTGAACTCTTGACTAAAGTTGCAAAAAAACAAGATTTAATTTCCATTTTAATCTGTGTTAATGATTTTAGCTAAATACATTTCTTCGATAAAAGTGTCAATAAACACAGATTGACCATAGATTTGAACATAGAACATAGAAAAATGAAAAAAGTCAGGATTGACACTCCACTGAAGTTGCAAAGAAAAACTTGATTTTATTTCGGTTTTAGTTCGTATTACTGATTTTAGATAAACAGATTTCTTTTGTAGAAGTGTTCTTAAATATAGAATGGACCATAGAATAGAACAAAGCACCTAGAAAAAAAAATCAGGATCGAAATAACCTTCAACTCTTCACTAAAGTTGCAAAGAAAAACATGATTAATTCCGGTTTTAGTTTGCATTACTGATTTTGGCTACATAGATTTCTTTCCTAGAAGTGTTAGTAAGTATAGATTAGACCATAGAATAGAACATGGGATATAGAACAATGAAAAAAGTTAGGATTGGAATAACTTTAAATACTCGGCTAAGAATACAAAAAAAATGTTATAATTTCCGTTTCAATCTGATTCTAGATAAACAGATTTTTTATTTTACAACTGTTTATAAACATAGAATAGAACATGGAATACCACATAGAACAAAGAACCACGTAACTACGTAATCGCTTTTTTAAAGTGATTTGAACCTGTGTTATTAATTTTAGCAAAATAGATTTCATTCATTTGAAAAGAAAAGGTTTGGAGCAGCGTAATGTAAGTTAAATTTATTTTCTGTATTTTTTTTAACAGTAATTTGTTTCGTTAGTAAACGAAATCTATATTTTGTACTACCGCTACCTCATGTTTTCATTTGGTATACTTAGCTTATGTGTGAATTAAGTATTTTAAGTCACTTAGGAATAATTGAGAGAGAAAGCGGACAAGGAAAAGTGTTTATAAAAACCATTTGGTTACCTAAAGCATTGAAATTCTTAAAAAACCGGGCAAAGTTATGAAATTTTGTAGATCACTGTCTAAGACGCATTTAAATGAAGCCACAAGGAAACGGAGGATAAGAAGATGGTTAAAATGGGAGCCGCTGATAGTTTTGGTTAGTCGGAAAGTCAAACATCTAAAATTTCGACCGTTTTCGCGAAATCGTTCGATAAAAATGATCGATCAATAACGACGTACCTGTCGTTGTAAGCGAGGCAAATGGATTTCGGTTTACTTTCGGGCGGGTCGTAAATCTACGTGGCTTGATCCGTCTAATCTATATCGTTATCCTTGAGAATAACTTATTTTGAGCACGCTAAACTCTCAGCGTGATAAGAAAACTCGCCTTATATCTTATACCGCGTCGAAAACATACTGGCAAAGGACTTTTGACGAGAAAAGTCCGGCAAAAACCTGCGAAGGTAATGATGACAATATATTCCGGGAAATACCAGGTTAGCGTCAAAATTTCCCGGCCTGACATAGATGCAGCTCCAGTATCACAATAAAACTTTGTCTTCTTTTCAACATGTACCTTAGTAGGCTGCGAAAAAAAAATGAAGTCTTGCGTCAAATAGTTTTTTTATTGGCAGCATTTTAAACAAGACGTGTCCGAAAAAATGTCGACAATAACGCAAATTGAGTATGGAGCAGTCAAAGTTTTTGACAAAAGAAGGGTTAGCAACTAAAATTATTAAAGAAAGGCTGGATGGGGTCTACGGCCAAAGTTCTAGTGAAAGAATGGGCAAAACGTTTTCGAATGGGGCAGGAGTCCCTTGAAGATGATTCAAGAACTGGTCGACCAGTGGGGGTCATAACGGAAGATATTGTGGCGATGGTGGAAGAGGTGGTATTGAGTGATCGACGTTTAAAGGTCAAGAAAATCTCAGAAATTACTGATACAAATGTTCGTCGAATCCTGCATGATCATTTAGGTATGCATAAGGTTAGTCCAAGATGGGTTCCTAAAAACCTTTCGGCTATTCAAAAACAACGACGTGTCGAGTGTGCGCGCTCTTTTTTGGAACTCTGTGGGTCGGAACCGAAGCCTGTGGCAGAAACCATTGCGACGGGAGATGAAACTATGGTTCTCTATTATGACCTTCTATCGAAAAAAGGATCAATGGAGTGGCGTCGTAAGGGTGAAGCACCTCCAAAAAAATTCAGAGTCTGCCAGCCAACAAAAAAGGTGATGGCCACGATCTTTTGGGATTGTGAAGGAATTCTTTTGATAGATTTTAAAGAAACTAAAGTGTACGTGTACGTGTAAGACGCCAAGGAAAACTGACCAGAGGCGTGCGTCTTTTGAACGACAATTTGAAGTACCTTGCTTTTAAGTTTGTATATTTTAATATAAATAATAAATAATTAAATACAGTAAATACAATAAGTACAGTACAGTAAGTACAATAAATACAGTAGTGGCCCTAATACCGATCCCTGGGCATGGCAATATTTTTAGAACCATATAAGCATTTTAAGTGAGCAATGGATTCTTTAATACATTGGGTAACGTGACCATTAAATCTTAGCATAGCCGAGCATAAGCCCAAGGTTTTTTATTTCTAGTTGCGATAATCGATCAACATCCACGGGCCTACCAAAGAACATCGCTATAATTTTTTTTGGATTTAGATGGAGTGAATGTTCTAGGGAGACCCTCTTAATGATTTCTAGATCATTATTTGTGATTTGACAGCTTTCCAAAATTTTATCTCCAGAAAATGAATAATAAACTCATGTATCATCTGCATACATTTGGGTTTTGCAATGCTGTATAAAACTAGGAAACGCGGACGTATATATACAGTATAAAATTGACCCCAGAATGGAGCCTTGAGGCACCCCAGATATTATAGCACGGCACTCTGATTGCTGTCCATTTAGAACCACTTTTTGTGTACGACCTTGCAAGTAGTTCCTCATAAATTCGACAGCACCCTCATCAAGCCCTATGTATTTTAGAATAGTTAGCAAAGTATGGTTATTGAAGGTATCAAACGCCTTAGAGTAATTAGAGACGTTTAGGAGAGCAGTTGCACAACTGTGCCCCTTGCTGAAGCCAGACTGAGTTTCAAGAAGAGTACTATTTTATATATAATATATTATACGCCTCGTATAATACCACGCCAAAACCAATACGGTTGAACAAAATTTTAACGTTCCTGGAAAATGCCTTGGCGCGATAAGCCGCTAAATCTATACCAGCGTAGATTAATGTTAACTAATCAAGATAAAATACGGGCGATTTTGACAGAGACGCCGCAATAAAGTGTACCAACAAAAACGTTAGTCACAAAGCGGATAAAACGTTTATACAAAATTTATACCGATACTAGTTGTAGCAAACTTAAGTTACGTAATTATTACTGCATTATCGTGTATTTGTGTTATCATATAGATCGGTACAGTTGAAAAATGATATGGCATTAACAGCATAGAAACGGAGCCATGGAAGCATCCGAAGCAGTTCTAAAATCTCTAAAATCCAATCCCGCCATCGTAATACTAAGAGCAGATAAAAGTGGTCATCAACAAAAGTGAATATCAGGAAAATATTCCAGCAAGGGGGTCCTTGGGTAAAAATGAAAGAAGGCACAGAAATCAAGATTTAGGAGCAAGCCATTCATCCACGCAGAAAATTCTTCCAATAGCAATTGAAAAGTAGACTAGTTTTATGAAACCATCATATAAATGTGCAAATAAGATTAATTTTTTCATCGTCTGCTACCTTATTGCGGCGTTTTGTTTAAACGTTACTGTAGATGAACAAAATTGTAGGTATCGGAGTGAGTACAAATAATGCCCGATGGGCCAGAGAAAATCATAACCAACATCCACCGGATGGATACGAAAATTATTGACCCTTATTTCTTCGATTCGAAATTACTTAATTCAAATACCGTAATTGCGGGTGGTAAACGACCTGCAGGATATTTTGGCAAAACGTCAGGCGAATGATCCTACTCCAGGCTCAAACAACGAACGGATGAACGGATGAAACACCCGGATATATATATATATATATATATATATATATATATATATATATATATATATATATATATATATATATATATATATATATATATATATATATATATATATATATATATATATATATATATATATATATATATATATATATATATATATATATATATATATATATATATATATATATATATATATATATATATATATATATATATATATATATATATGATGACACTATATTCCGGGATATCATCCGTTCGCTCGCTGAACTCCGACCGGAATCCTGCATCCGACTGGAATCCTGCAAATCCTGCATCCGACTGGAATCCTGCAGACGTTTCGCCAAAATCTCACTTGGCATCTTCAATGCTCGCGCTCCTAAAACACTTCGAACACTCGAAGTGTATATATATATATATATATATATATATATATATATATATATATATATATATATATATATATATATATATATATATATATATATATATATTCTTACGTATTGATTCACGGATGGAAAAATGTGATGACACTATATTCCGGGATATCATCCGTTCGCTCGTTGAACTCCGACTGGAATCCTGCAGACGTTTCGCCAAAATCTCACTTGGCATCTTTAATGCTCGCGCTCCGAAAACACTTCGAATGGAAATAAATTTTTCGAAAACGGAATACCTGGCAACAGAAGATGGAGAAAACTACCTACAAGTCGATGAAAATCATCAAATAAAGAGAACCAAAAATTTCAAATACTTAGGTTTCATAATATCTCACAAAGGGACAACAGAGGAAGAAATGAACAGTAGACTAGGCCAGACGCGAAACTGTATCAGACAACTAAATCCAATACTCTGGGATAGGCACATCACTCGACATACCAAATCACATATATTTAACACAGCGTAATGACATACGGCGCGGAAAACTGGGTGATCAACAAAAAATACAAAAGTAAAATACAGGCCACTGAAATGGAATACTGGAGGAGAAGTTGTAGAATTTCGAGAATAGACAAAGTAAGAAACGAGGAGATCACGCAGCGAATGGGTGTCAAGAAAGATACCTTAACATTGATTGAAGAAAAGAGATTGGTATGGTATGGGCATGTAAGAAGAACGGACAGAAATAGGTGGATACACAAGATAACAGAATGGAGCCCCATAGGTAGAAGGAAAAGGGGTAGACCCAGAAGATCTTGGAGGGATGAAGTAGATGAATCTATGGAAAAAAGAGGTATCGGAGATGAATGGCAAGACAGAGATGGATGGAGGCGTAGGTTGAGAGAAGGGAAACAGCGACAGCTGTAAAAAACCCTATATATATATATATATATATATATATATATATATATATATATATATATATATATATATATATAAACTGAAAAAGTAAAGTTATAAATATATATTCCACGAATCTAAGTCTACAATCAAATACAGCACCAAGGTTTTTATTACAATTCACAATTTTCAAATCGTTAATTAAATAATTAATTAATTAAACAAATAAAGCGTATGACTTTATGATGTGCGTCCATTTCTCGTATTTACGTTGTATATACGGGTTTATATTTTGTTGACAATTATGGTGTTGGTGTTGTTGTTCTTGTGGTTACATGTATTGTTTGTATTATGACTAACATCTTAATATTTTGATTTTCAATAAAGACAGTTTATTATTATTATTAAATAGACTTTTTTCTTTTATCGAAAGTGTTATTTTTTTTTATGATTCTATGGATTTGACAAAACTTTCAAAAATCTTATAAATACCAGTAACATATAAAAATAGTTACCAATCAGTAACGTTTTTTTTTATGAAATGCTTTTTTGCTTTTTTAACTGTTTTCATTGATCATCGAAGAGCCTTTGAGGCCATTGATAGAGGACGTCTGGTGGGTAAACTGTGTGCATATCGGATCAGAAGGAATGTGCTTGTGTGAAAAGTTGATTATCTACGTGACTGATTCCATCTAACAAGGCTTCCATCCTACTTACAAGATTATTTAATTCCTATGTCGTGCAAACATCTTTATAATGTTAGGGGTGAAAATGATTTTTGATATTCAGTTTGTTAAAACTCTACACATGTTAAAAAGGCTGTTTCGTGATGGGCTTCGATTGTTCAATGTTCTCAAAAATTTGCCGAATGTAAAATGCTTCCAAAAAATGGTAAAAGATTCTTATATTGATATTAATATTCATATATTCATATATATATTCATATATCAGTCATTTACAAGCGTAGTTTTGGTAATGTTAACGATAATATACCGTTTCATTTCAAATAATTATAATTATTATATATAACATTATAAGTAGGTGAGAGTGATGCAAATTTAGTTAAAGTTAGTCGAAAGTAAAGCGACTTGACGGTGACAAGCCACAAAAAACAACAAAAAGCTCGGGTGTAAACACACAAGCAGAGACAAAAAGCGCGTATGCAAACGTAGCCGCTTCTTTGTCTCTCTTTGTTTGCGTCCCGCGTGAGTCAGCTGATCGACATCGCTTTGTTTACGTCCTGTCCGACCAAACGCGCCTCCCCTAACTTACGTCTCTTGAAAATGCCTTCTCGCACTGTGTACGATACGTCCCTAAACGTCACCGTCACCGCAGCGCCTCCTACGATGGAAGTTTCGAACTTGTCGACGTATCCGTTTTCCGGGATCGTCAGCAAGTCGATCTTTTGCGAATCCGGACGTATTCTCGCGAGTTTCTTCAGCCGCGGCGCGGTACCGACGCTGCCGTTCATTTCGGACGCTTGGAAGCGACTGCGGTCGCGAGTTCTACCGCTTGACAAATCTAGAGAAAGAGCCATGTCGGCGCAGGCTCACGCGTGTCCGCGATCGCACGTCTATGGCTACAAAACGACTGGGTATTTTGACCGAATCGCGGTTCTTATCGGCCCTCGGGGAGAAATCTAATCAGCGGCCCGATAAATCAGTCGACGCACTTCGATGCAATTTCGCTTATTAGCGACGGAAAACGTGTCCAACAATGACACACAAATAATTGTATTGGAACCAAGACGATGTATATTCTAACGGGGTTTATAGTTGTAGTTGCGGCAATACAATTCAAACGGGGTTTATAATTATATTTGGGGTCTAATAATCATATTTAAATTATATCTAAAATTATAATTAAAATTTTCAAATACGCAAAACAACGGGAATAGACGACAGAGGCACACAAATTATTGTAAATCTGTACTGAAACCAAGACGACGTATATTCCAACGGGGTATATGATTATATTTGGGGTATTATAATTATATTTAAATTATAAATAAAATTAGAATTAAAATAGCTGCAATACTCAAAGCAACGAGAATAGACAACACACAAATAATTGTTCTGTCCCCTCTCTTCTTCAATCTGTATTCGGAAGTAATATTCAATGAGGCCTTAGAAAACGCAGGGATGAGGATAATCATAAAGGGCAGAAATATCAACATCAAATATACTGACGACACGACAGGAAGACGAAATATATGATTATAAGTAAACAAACTTCACAACAGGAAAACCATATTGTAGTCAGCGGAATGCCGATAGAAAATGTCCATCCATCAGTGGAAATAAAAAGAAGAATAGAAAAAGCAAAAGCAGTGTTGGTACTGATGAAGAAAGCCTTGTGTAGTAGTAGTTAGTTAGGAGGTATGGCCCATTCATGACTAAAACTTAAAAACCACAATTTCAATACTTGAATTAATTTATTCATAGTGTACCATATTAGTCGCTTCTGATGTTTAAACTTACATTCTAAACTAGAAATTTGTTACCATTGAGAGCAATTAAAACGCAGCTTTATGATATTGATAATATGTTTTAATCAAATTCAAGGACACAATATAGACAATCAATCAATTTCAGTTTTTAAAGTGATCTGCGGCGACTGAATTTGAGGATTTTCAACAAGTTTGTTGATATCAGCTTCGATTTTACTCAAAAACAGTAGTTAGCCTCCGCGTTTTGTAACTTGCAATTTATTTATTTATCTGCTTAGTAAGCGGCGTTGCCACAGCGCTAAATCAACGTTCAAATATAAGTTCTTCTAGCTATGATGATATTGCTATGTTAACATTTGAAAAAGGATCCGGTATTTCAAATTTCAAAATATCCTGGAATCTTTCAATGAAATTACTGCGAAGATTTTCCGAATGTTGGAAATAGACGAGCAAGTCACGGGGAATCACTGATCAGACGCACTTCGATGCAATATCGGCCATTAGCGATGGAAAATGTGTCTGATGTGCTTTTAAGATCGCCAAGCACCGTATGCTATGTATATTCCAGCGGGGTTTATAATTATATTGGGGGTATTATAATTCAAACTGGCTTATCCCGATTAATTTGCCGAACTCATACTTCTCGAAGTTCCGTTGTTAGAGACTTTTTGGTTGGCGCCTCGCCCCACAAAATACAAAAATCATAGATAAATGAAGTAAATAGATGGTCAACGGCAACAGAAACGAATTGGTCTCGCTGCACTGCCAACGCGATTGGAGTGCGAACTAAATTCTACTCTGACTTAATATGCATAATTTAAAAATTTAAATAACTTGCCGCTGACTGTTTAGGGCGTCACTGCACTTTCTTTTGCAAAAAGTAAAATATCCATCGAAAAAAAAATCTCTAGTTTTTAGTTACGAACTAATGCCTTTCAGAAAAAAATAAGAAGACCGTTCTTTTTATTTTTACAGTTTTTATGAAGTACCATAACATCCTAACAACAACAATAAACGAATCTTATTTAAAAAACTTTTTAATTAAATTTGATTAATTAATTCTATTCATGGTGACATATCGCTCTAAAACTTAGGACGCCTGAATTAAATCGAATTTCCAGAGTTTAAAAAACCTCTTACTTTTTAAATGCCGTTCAAAAGCTTATAAGTGCGACAGCTCAATCTGCGATGTGAAATACGACGTTTTACGCTCAGCGCTCTAGGGTTACCGTGGGAATCGATAGTCATTAATAATCTAAATACGACTGCGATCTCGTACACAACAATTGCCTCGTTGACATTTGGTCTTCTGTGGGCAGCAAACAATTATTCAGTTAGTCGGACATAAACCGATTAGATATGAAAGGATTGTCAGAACGTCTAGAATATTTAGCCTGAGTCTTCCGAATTTGATTTTACCCACTGGGGGGAATTTAATTTTTATCACGTGATATGGTATAGTGCTTTCGCAGTGGGGAGTTTGAACATTACATCCTATATCTCTCTTATAAAATGCAAATACGCATTATATGAAAAATTACGAAGATTAACGTTAGTTTCAATGATTCAAAAATTATTCCTATTTAAATCGTCAAAAATGACCCACGGAAAGTAGAAAAATCACCAATTCCGAGCTGCTATCTTTTATATTATGTTATCGACATGGTTAAAATAAAATTAAAATTCCTCCTGAGGCAATCCCAGTTTCCTTTGATGTCGAAAATCTATTTCGTAGCATTGCACCGATTGAAGTAACAAAATAAGACTTGTTAGATAGTATATTGGTTTGTTTACAGCAAAATTATTTTGAATTACGGGAAACCTACTTAGTCCACCACTTGTGGAAATTTTCATGGACAATGTAGAAAATATCATACATAAACATCCTCTGAGTGAAAGATTACTGCGATTACTAACACAGAATACGAAACTAAACCGCGAAACACAGAACCTCCAATCACAGAACGCATACAAAATTTTAAACGAACTTTAATAATTAACCAATCTAAAACTCTCTGGAATTTTGACATTTTTGGGGTTAGGTTTACTCAGTTAGATTTTGGCGAAAGAGTGTTGTTTGTGTTTTTTGTGATAAATTTAAAAAATTGAAACAGTTAAAATTGAAACTTTATCGGGAGCATTTTCCTCCAATATTTTTTTACATTTTTAGACGTGGACTAACTCAACAACAATGCATCGATGAACTTAATTCGACTTTTCGAGTTAAAGCACCCTCCAGGACTACTGTTAATCGCTGGTTTTCTGACTACAGTCTTTTCGTAGTTTTCTTAAGGATGAATTTCGGGATGCGAAAACCTTGATGCAGTGCGGAAACTGATTTTGCAGGATCGTCATGTGACTTACCATGAGATCGAGGTAGCCGTGCACCATATAGTCCTGATGTAGCACCTAACGACTTCTTTTTATTCTCATACATTAAGAATAAGTTACGTGGGCAACGATTTTTGACATCAGAAGACGCGATTGACTCGTTTAAAAAGCATGTTTTGGAGGTGCCTGACTCGATGTGGGAGAAGAGCTTTGATGATTGGTTTTATCGAATGGAATAGTGTATTGATCATCAGGGAGAATATTTTGAGAAACAATAAGGTCATATTTGTCGGTAGCTTATAGTTTTTTATTACAAATCCCAAAATATAAAAGGTAGCCCTCGTATCAACAAGGTTAAAGACATTAAAATGACTCCCAAGGCAAATCTAGTTTCTTTTGATGTCCAAAATCAATTTCCTAGCATTCCGCCGACTGACGTAATAAAATAAGGCTTGTTAGATAGTTTAATAGTTTGTTTATCTGATCAATCCCAAATATTTGTGGAAATCTAAACATTCTTTTTATTTTATTTACTAACCAATTTGAGATACTGGTCTGATCAAAAAATAGAAGAGAATATCAATCGAAAGAAGATAGAAGTATAAGACCAATTTTAATTCGCAAATGACACTGTTGGCATGCAACTATAAGGAATATACATTAGTGTTACAGCAACAGTAAAAATAGGAGGTAAAATATCACAAGAATTCTTCGTCAGTAAGGGGCTAAAGCGGATATGCTGCTTATCACTACCACTTAAACTATAGCGCCACATATATATACTATGCCTGGCGGATTACCGGGTGGTTATACATAAAAACAATGGGGTCTAGAAATTAATATTGATAAAACAGGTCTAATCCTCTAGCCGCTACAAATGATATACTATGGGACAAAACTAAATCCAAACTGAACATGCAAAAAACTTTCAATACCTTAGTACAAGGTACCATTACGACGATAAACGAAAGACAAAGAAGAGCCACTGAAATGAATTATGACCAACGAAAGAAATCATTTACTTTGATGAGACATGGCTTCATATTACATCATATTATAGGCTCGTGCATTGTTTAAAAAGAAGAAGAAGAACTTTACGGCAACCGCTATATTATTCACCCTATAGAGCAAATGCAGCACAAACTGAATCGCAATAATCTGATTCGCACAATAGTCAGCTTCGAAGAATTTAAGGCAAGTTCGTCGTACTTTCCTTATCCCATATTTGCTTTAAGATAAGAATAAAACGTTTTCACGTATTAAATAAATAAAATATTTTCTTTGTGTCGGAAATGAAATTGCCAGTGCATTCACAAGTCGCGCCATCTCTTGGCCAATTTTGTAATCAACACCAAACGCTGCTTCGAAATTCTAAAGGGAACGCTCGCCATCGGCAGCTCACGGTAGAGGTCTCTGTGGGGTTTGCATGCCAGTCTAACTTTGGTCGCAGTTTTTGAGAGCTTTTAACACTTCGCACGGAGATTTAAGTCTAGTAAGTCTAAATCGCGGGCATATGTGATTCGAAGTTATGTTTTATTAGCTCATCTAAGTTTAGATCACTTTTATTCTATTTATATATATTTTTGAGTTTTGTTTATTTAGTTGTTTGGTGTATCTCTTGTTAATGTTGCCCAAAAAAATGTGATGAATGTAATGCAATGTAATTTTAAAATTAAACCCAAGATGATAAAATAAAAAATTGGAAATTAAAGAAGTAATTCACATTGAATAGGAAATAAATGTTCTAAGCCCACACCACAAAATAAGACCATGACCAACTGGGGCCTTGCAATTTCAAATCGAATTTCATTAGTTGTTTCAGATACCACTTTGTTCAGGATGGATTAGATGAATGGATTCTTAAGTCGAATTGCATTAGTCATCTGAGATGGCAGTCTGGGGCAGATTTGACATTTGAAATGATTTCCTCTTTCGGGATAACACGTGGGGCAAAGACAAAGTTTGATAATTGGGCAAAACGTCAGCAAGTACTATTGATCAACGACCTACGTGAATAGTTTTGGTTAGTTTTTTGAGCCTGCGTATAATATGAATGGACCTTCTATGCGATTTCTTTTAGCTGGGCGTCTGTCGAATCGGTTCGAAGCTCGACTATCCCTACCGCTGGCGGAAAATTGCGGTTTGCTTTCCGTTCGGCAACTGCGGGCAATAAATTTCGACGCCGCTGGTGTCACGACGAGAACCATAACCCTATGACGGTCGGGATCGGGATTATTACCGGCAGGGGAGGGGGAACGACGAAGGATATCGTCAGGAAGAGAATTGTGCATATTTTGTTTCGGGTCGGATGCTACGTCGTTACAATAATGTCAAAGACGAGCGACGTAGGTCGTGCCTTTGTTCTTCGCAAATCGTGACGAATCATTTGGCTCCCGTTTGCAAATAATAATAATAATAATAATAATAATAATAATAATAATAATAATAATAATAACAATAATAATAATAAATGCATTTATTCCTTCGCCAAATATACATGTTATATGAGGCTGATGAATAAAATTTACAGTGTTTAACGTACTGTGTGTTAAAAAGAAATCCTTGTTAAAAAAGAACATATAATATATGTATGTATATAGTGTATCTTCAATGATATCACAAAAAAAAAATTACAAAAGAGAAAATGGAAGGAAAAAGAGTTATTGATTATAATGAGTATCTACTCTCATTAGATGGTGCAATTCTGTGTCCAATTAGTTTTTGAAAGAATTAACACTGCGTCTTCCGACAAGGATTTCCGTGTATGGTCTGTTCATATATATAAGAAAGTGACCAATTGCTTTTGAATGGGATTAACCAAGGGGGGTCATTAACATTAACAAGATTATTACCTAAACTTTCGGAATTTAACTTCAGGTAAAATAATTTTATACCTGCCTGTGTTTAATATTCTTCTTAAATTCTGAATGTTTTACTACATTGCATCGGTGGTTAGGTGGAGTAGCGCTACTAGACATCCGCCACCTGTACATCTTTATTTTGTTATATTCTTTTTGTTGTATTTTAATAAAGGCTATTTATTATTATTAGTATTATTATTAAGTTCGACTCAACAAAATGTTTTGTAAATAGTGAGGATTTCGTTTAGGTTCCATTCAAAAATCGTACGTCACCTAACGAAAGCAAGCGTAAATCCGCCATTATAGCATCGTCCATTAGATGAATTCGGCGATCGGATTACATCGATGACGGAGGCGATGCGTATGCGTTCAAAGCGACGCAGGTGGTCCGTAATTAGAATTTCATGTGTAACGTAATCGGAATCAGGAGCGGATTGGACCTATGGGACTAGCCGTAATTTCCCGAAGGGCTACTTTAATAGGATATACGAGCCAGCAACAATCGGTGCGATGGAGATATTTGCAGACAGCCCGGTGTCGATCGGGAGTGCGGTTATCGAATGCCCACGAGATCGTATATCTTCGGGTTTTTTCGTTCGAGATCCCGGGAAAAGTGGGCCGGTTGAAAAATTTCGAAGTGAAGCAGGTAGACAGCGCACCGAGTCAAAATAAATCAACAGTTTTCTGTTCACAAACTTACGAACTGCGATAAATTTATAGGGGAGTCTGTTTGCATTAACAATAAGCCTACATTTGATTTTTTATGTGTCAACAAAGGAAAAATCCATTAAAGTTAAGTCGGGGCTGTTGGCTGGCCAATGCATAGTTCCGCCGTTCCCTATCAAACCCCTGGGATATTCTATAAAAATTTTCATATACTCTAGTAATAAAGGCAACTGGATGTGTTTCAATGGAATCCTAATATATTTTCCTTTTTTCTTCATTTAAAACATTACGATTCTGGCATACCCTTTTAGCATTTAATACGTTGCCGTTTTCTGGAAATTCCTTTGCCAGCCTTCGAAATATCTATTTTAAAGGAGGTCGGCGCTCTGGATAAACTCTAATATACTGAAATTTTATTATTCAGTAAGTATGCTTGTAAAGCATATTCCTTCCAAAAATCATTTTAACAATAACGACTGGGACAATTATTCAATCATCAACGCTGTTTACTAATGTAACAAAGTAACTGTGGACATACCATCGAATTTAGATGATCCAGAAGAGATTAATCGTTATTTTGCTCTTTATTTGAGAACAGTGATTACAAATGTTCATCCACCATAGATTTTTATAATTCACACAAAATTAGTAACGAATACAATTTTACCTTTCAATTAACTGAAATTTCTCATATTACTGAAATTGTATCAGAGATCAAGTCAGGTATTATAGGCGTCGACGGAATCACCTTGAAGATGGTAAGGTTGTACATGCCAGCAATAGATAAACACATTTGCCATGTAGTGAATTGTTGCCTTGAAATTGGATACTTCCCAGCTACGTGGAAGGAGGCATTGGTCGTTCCTATTCCCAAGAATACTGACCCGTCCGTGGTTGGAGATTTAGGACCGATAAGCTTGGTGCCAGTTTTGTCTAAAATTCTAGGAAAAGTGGTGTACAAACAGATAAATGAATATGTTGCTGTAAAGGACATACTCCCAAAACACCAATCTGGTTTTAAGAAAGGGCATAGCACGGTTACTTCGCTATTAAACTTGTGTGATGAAATCCTGAGAGCGGGTGACGGACAAATCTATGGCGACGGCTCTGGTCCTACTGAACTTTACAAAAGCCTTTGATACTATTAATCATAGACTGTTGATTGCCAAGTATCGGTATATGGGATTTGGTGACAAAACGTTAAGCTTTTTTGAGTCGTATCTATACAACAGGCGTCAAAAAGTTAAGCACATCTCCAAACAATGTTATATGAGTTTAAAATTTTTATATTCAAATAGAGATATATTGTCCTACGATATGAAACTACAGTTGTGTCAAAGTCTGTTGCTAAAATTAATGTAAAATAATCCGTTAGAATACATGTATATCATTCATTCTATTTTGTAATTTCATACATACTTGTAATTTATACGTAGTTGTAGTTAGAAATGACAGACTTCGCCCATGTAATGCTGATAAAGACTATGTATTTTTATTATTATGCCAAACATAAACATATGATGAAAAACGAGTGGACTAAAATATAAAGTCTATGATAATATGATGTAGGCTTATATGTCAGAAAATTGACCGTGTTTTGTTTTATACGTCAATTGGAAGAAAAAAATTGGCTACTAACCCTACATTTCGTTTTTTTGTTTACCTTGATATCTCTAAAAACAAATTATTAACTATTAAAATGTTATCGAGATAAATTGAACGCACGGTACATCTCTCTCCCTCTCCCCCCCTCTCTCTCCCACTCCCTGATCTTCGGCATCTTGGTATATATTTCTGAAGCGGTTTATCCAATTTCTCAACGTAAGAGCAAAATTCTCTACAGATCTAGCGTGCCGGACCAAACTGTGTCGCTTTCGCAGCAATCCCAATGGCACGCTTTTGCTTCGCGTCGACGTGTGGCGGTTAAGGGCAATTCCCTAAAGCAAGCGAATCCCGGTTATAATTCGAACGGGACTGCCGGACGTCAGTGGCGCTGACCGACACATGCGTCTGGCAGATTTACAGTCAGGACGGTCCGAGACCTGGAAACTTCGTTGTCGCAGATTATGTCCTGTAGGGCTTATATATTTTTTTTCCGGGGTTTTCCTACACGTACACAGCAAGTGAGGATTAAAAGCTCTCGATTCTATTAAAAATGACAATTTTTCGAACGGTGGAAGTGTCGGAAAAAGCAATTTTATGTTTTATCGGAACATCTTCGGCAGTGTTTTTCAGACGCCTTTCTAAAATTGCTCTGAAAGCTGAAGCACATGTCTACAGCGATTTTGAAGTTTGAAAGCTCTTTAAACTTTTTCCAAAAAACGCCATATTTCTCTGTACCTTAAAAATGTTATTTTACTAGTATGTATACATACCTATGACACGAATGTGTTTTTTACGTGTTAGGCACAATTTTTATGAAATTAAATGTGATTTGGCAACACTATATAATATTAGGAATCTCTGCAAGGCAACAGAGTTGTGGCAGAGAAGCGTCAATACAGCGTTGTACGTTGTTGCGTATTTATAGTGTTCCAGAACGCATAAATATGTAAGAAAGACAATCCGAACAACTTTTGTTATATCTGCGGTGGTTGTGTCGTAGTAAGGCAAAGGCAGGCTATAATTTCTTTTGTATACCACGCCTATTTTGGTTTAAAAATTGGCCACCAAGATCTGGGCTCCTCAGACTGCTTAAACATTTCTCCAAATTCAGTCCTAGGAACCTCACAGCTTCTCTACTTAAAATGGTGTAATTGCCTGAGAACTATCACTTTGTTACCGATAATTAATTTACGTTTTCGAGCCAAGCATACTTTCGGCATTTACAGATGCTTGCCACACCTTGACACGATAGCGTAGTCGTATATTGTATAGTATTATAATAAATAATTATGAAAAGATAGTTTACACTAGTTGGAACAGAAATAAGAGTATCACAATAAGACCTTCTCTTTAAATATTCTTCCAAATTCACCCCTGGAAACCTCACAGCGTCTCTACTTAAACTAGTGCCATCGCCTAAGCAGATATCATATTGTTTTTGATAGTTATCAATCTATCATCTTATAGCATTTCCCTCTCATTTTCACACGACAACGCCAAGGAAAAACCATCCGCATCCGTTACGAAAAACTTCAAAAAATTCGAAATAAGCTGGTATTTTTCACACAAAATACAAATAAAAGTGTTTTTACTTTACCTAGAACATTTGTTTATTTTCCCTGTGTTTTATTTATTTAGACTGATTTCAAAATAGAACTGATTGCCCAAAGCAGAACCACAAATCCTCAAAAATTGTTTTAAGTCGATAAGTGTGCTCTATAGATTGATAACTATTAAAAACAATGTGCTGAGGCGATGACACTATTTTAAGTAGAGACACTGTGAGGTTTCTAGGACTGAATTTATATGAATGTTTAAATTGAAAGTCTTATTGTGATACTCTTATTTCAACTCCAAATAATGTAAACTATATTTTGAAACTATACACGTTGAATGTTTCCTCTAAGTTTCCGAACTCAAGTTCCGAACACCCTGTATAATTTACGTATTATATGAAGAGAACATGGTCTGAAACGGAACCTCGAGGAACACCCTTCTCCATGCGTTGACCAGCATAAACTAGCCCCTGTTTTGCCGCTAATAATTTGCTCTGGAAAAGGACAATTTTCGTGGTCTCTTACATTTTTGTTCATAATTCGAAAACCTTGTTTATAATCGAAAAAATGCTTGAAATAAAAGTTATAGTACTAGATCTTCCGCTTCTGTTGGTTAAAGAATTTTGCCGATCGGTGTCATAGTTTTGGAGAAATTGAATTTTTTCTGGAAAGCAACATGAATTAAAAAAAAATCTAAAATTTTAAAAAATACTTCGCCATACTTGACGGCGCCCAGTTTTAACAATCTAATTGTGGGTGTGGACTTCTACCACTTGTTACATTTCTTAAAATAGCACGGAATATCTTGGACACCCAGTGTAATAGATGAAAACCTTAAATACAAAAGTTTTAACTGTCCGCATGGGCTATATAACCATGTAAAAAAAAAAAAATCAGTTTTTTGTAAATTACCGACACACCCTGTACATTTAAAGAAAATCATCAGGAGTAAAGATTTTGTCCGAAATTTGCGCGTCATTTGGTTTAAGAATTTCGTTTTGGAAAATTTTTTTTTCGAGACCCTGCAAACAAGATTTTTAAATTTTTAAAAATACTAGCCGACCCCCGAGTCCCCCCAATTTCATTGGGTTCCGTTATCGTGTTTCATAGCGATGTACGAAAAATAGTGAAAAATCCCAAAAAAAATATAGATGCCAGTATCCTTGCTCCGAAGTTATTAGCGTTTTTGTGGAGCGTCGATAGAGAACGGAGAACAGACAATTTTTTTTTCTACCCTGATCATTTGTGCACCACTGGGGGTCACGTAACCCTCCCGTTGCCGACATACGAGTTTCGTTGAAAAGCGCGTATACTTTCGAAAAATTCGATTTTATCGATTT